GAAAGGCCATCATGAAGTGACATTGATGTCATTACCAAGGCTTATTACATGTACATAGGAAAGGTCAACATTAAGTGACATTGGTGTCATTACCAAAGCTTATTACATAGGGAAGGCCAACATTAAGTGACATTGATGTCATTACCAAGGCTTATTACATAGGACGGTAAACATTAAGTGACATTGATGTCATTACCAAGGCCTATTACAGAGGGAAGGCCAACATTAAGTGACATTGATGTCATTACCATAGGACGGTAAACATTAAGTGACATTGATGTCATTACCAAGGCTTATTACATCGGAAAGGCCAACATTAAGTGACATTGATGTCATTACCAAGGCCTATTACATAGGGAAGGCCAACATTAGGTGACTCTGATGCCATTACCAAGACTTATTACATGGGAAAGGCCAACATTAAGTGACATTGATGTCATTACCAAGGCTAATTACAAAGGAAAGGCCACATTAAGTGACATTGATGTCATTACCAAGGCTAATTACAAAGGAAAGGCCACATTAAGTGACATTGATGTCATTACCAAGGCTTATTACATAGGAAAGGCCAACATGAAGTGCCATTGATGTCATTACCAAGGCTTATTACATGTACATAGGGAAGGCCAACATTAAATGACATTGATGTCATTACCAAAGCTTATTACATAGGAAAGGCCAACATTAAGTGACATTGATGCCATTACCAAGGCCAATTACAGAGGGAAAGCTAAAATTTGTCAGCATTGAAGCCATTGATAATGCTTATTTCAGGCGTAGTGCTAAAATTAGGTGGCATTGATGTCATCACCAAGGCTTATTACATGGGAAAGTCCAACATTAAGTGACATTGATGTCATTACCAAGACTTATTACATAGGAAAGGCCAACATTAAGTGACATTGATGTCATTACCAAGGGTTATTACATAGGAAAGGCCAGCATTAAGTGGCATTGATGTCATCACCAAGGCTTATTACATGGGAAAGGCCAACATGAAGTGACATTGATGTCATCACCAAGGCTTATTACATGGGAAAGGTAAACATTAAGTGACATTGATGTCATTACCAAGGCCTATTACATAGGAAAGGCCAACGTTAAGTGACATTGATGTCATTACCAAGGCCTATTACAGAGGGAAGGCCAACATGAAGTGACATTGATGTCATCACTGAGGCTTATTACATGGGAAAGGCCAACATTAAGTGACATTGATGTCATTACCAAGGCTTATTACATAGGAAAGGCCAACATTAAGTGACATTGATGTCATTACCAAGGCTTATTACATAGGAAAGGCCAACATTAAGTGACATTGATGTCATTACCAAGGCTTATTACATAGGAAAGGCCAACATTAAGTGACATTGATGTCATTACCAAGGCTTATTACATAGGAAAGGCCAACATTAAGTGACATTGATGTCATTACCAAGGCTTATTACATAGGAAAGGCCAACATTAAGTGACATTGATGTCATTACCAAGGCTTATTACATAGGAAAGGCCAACATTAAGTGACATTGATGTCATTACCAAGGCTTATTACATAGGAAAGGCCAACATTAAGTGACATTGATGTCATTACCAAGGCTTATTACATAGGAAAGGCCAACATTAAGTGACATTGATGTCATTACCAAGGCTTATTACATAGGAAAGGCCAACATTAAGTGACATTGATGTCATTACCAAGGCTTATTACATAGGAAAGGCCAACATTAAGTGACATTGATGTCATTACCAAGGCTTATTACATAGGAAAGGCCAACATTAAGTGACATTGATGTCATTACCAAGGCTTATTACATAGGAAAGGCCAACATTAAGTGACATTGATGTCATTACCAAGGCTTATTACATAGGAAAGGCCAACATTAAGTGACATTGATGTCATTACCAAGGCTTATTACATAGGAAAGGCCAACATTAAGTGACATTGATGTCATTACCAAGGCTTATTACATAGGAAAGGCCAACATTAAGTGACATTGATGTCATTACCAAGGCTTATTACATAGGAAAGGCCAACATTAAGTGACATTGATGTCATTACCAAGGCTTATTACATAGGAAAGGCCAACATTAAGTGACATTGATGTCATTACCAAGGCTTATTACATAGGAAAGGCCAACATTAAGTGACATTGATGTCATTACCAAGGCTTATTACATAGGAAAGGCCAACATTAAGTGACATTGATGTCATTACCAAGGCTTATTACATAGGAAAGGCCAACATTAAGTGACATTGATGTCATTACCAAGGCTTATTACATAGGAAAGGCCAACATTAAGTGACATTGATGTCATTACCAAGGCTTATTACATAGGAAAGGCCAACATTAAGTGACATTGATGTCATTACCAAGGCTTATTACATAGGAAAGGCCAACATTAAGTGACATTGATGTCATTACCAAGGCTTATTACATAGGAAAGGCCAACATTAAGTGACATTGATGTCATTACCAAGGCTTATTACATAGGAAAGGCCAACATTAAGTGACATTGATGTCATTACCAAGGCTTATTACATAGGAAAGGCCAACATTAAGTGACATTGATGTCATTACCAAGGCTTATTACATAGGAAAGGCCAACATTAAGTGACATTGATGTCATTACCAAGGCTTATTACATAGGAAAGGCCAACATTAAGTGACATTGATGTCATTACCAAGGCTTATTACATAGGAAAGGCCAACATTAAGTGACATTGATGTCATTACCAAGGCTTATTACATAGGAAAGGCCAACATTAAGTGACATTGATGTCATTACCAAGGCTTATTACATAGGAAAGGCCAACATTAAGTGACATTGATGTCATTACCAAGGCTTATTACATAGGAAAGGCCAACATTAAGTGACACTGATGTCATTACCAAGGCTTATTACAGAGAGAAGACCAACATTAAGTGACATTGATGTCATTACCAAGGCTTATTACATGTACATAGGGAAGGCCAACATTAAGTGACAATGATGTCATTACCAAGGCTTCTTGCATGTACATAGGAAAGGCCAAAATTAAGTGACATTGATGTCATTACCAAGGCTTATTTTATTGGAAAGGCCAACATTAAGTGACACTGATGCCATTACCAAGGCTTATTACATACGTAAGGCTAAACTTAGGTGGCATTGATGCCATTATCCAGGCTTATTATAGAAGTAAGGCTAAAATTAGGTTGCATTAATGCCATAACCAAGGCTTTGTTTGTTATTTACTTGTCATGGATTCCTTGACAACCAATTATGATAAAAGCATATATCTTATAGCGGAATCAGCTACCGTTTCTGATGGAAACATTTCTATACTCATCTCTGGTTCTGATAGACTCGCTCTTCATCTCCTCTCCACATAAAAGCAACTGTGATATATCCCTGTTGGACACAATGGTTCATTATAATTCACCTTAAAAATAATCTGCAAAGAGCTATGCAGAAAGTTGCCCATATTTCCGTGAGTCGGCATAATGAAAACGGGAAAAGTATTAATGAGTAAATACTTTCTAGTCACAAAAATGCATAGAATAGCTAAAACCAATTGAATATGAATTTTTGAACTGCTGATATATTAGGTATTGTTAATATGATACTACAAATATAGCCATATTCACTATAGATATGAAAGTGATGGGGTTTCCTAGACTTAAAACAATACTTTCAGGACTTTCCCATCCGAGGACCAACTTTTGAATAAAAGTTTTGATTTCCTGATGTTATAGGCAAAAACAAATCGTATTCTGGAAAAGTGATCTTTTGGGAAAGTGCTCAAAATAATGAAAAACATGGGTGAGCGAGTCCCTTCAACTGCGACAGGTGTTTCTTGGGTTTAAACAGTTTGTATTCCCATCTTTATTTATGTCCGATATAGCCGAACGTGCAACGCAGTTAACTTGTGACCAGACGAAGTGAAAAGTGCAAGTTTTATATGTAGGCATGTGATCTTTTTCCTTAATTAAGTAACAAGATATTTCCAAATCAATGGAACATTTGCTTTCTATTTCTATAACATACCTATTGATTTATCTTCTATGGAATCATGTCGACAAATCACTGTACACGTGTGCGGCACAGCTACGCTTTGTAGTTAAAACATGCTGAATTACAAAAAAATGTGGGATGGTTGCGTCAGAATAAAACAAAAAAGGCCAAGCAAAAACATAATGAACTGTTATTATCGCAAATATATTACCGAAAAACCCCAGGAAAATTCATCGTTGAGGAAAGTCTCATTTATTTGAAATATAATAAAGTAAGGATCGCAATACCCATGCTAGACATGCTTTTCAAAAGGTATATGTATCATTTTGCCATTTAAAGGTGCAGGAAAAACAAAATCAAGATAAGTGTTTTGTAAGAAACCAGATAACGCCATGACGCAGGCAGTAGTAATGAAAATTAAATCCTTTAAAAACTTGTTAGTTATGATTGTACGATCTTGTGGTACATACAGCATTTTTTTTTTTAATTCATAGAAATAACGCGAAATAAGCGAGTTTTGTCGAGTCGTTATCGTGAAACGCATGTATCAAAAGCCACGGCCTTGAATTCGGCTGTTGACAATAATCTATTTTAAGACATAGGATTCCGATAAAGCAACCTGCATATAAATACATGAGGACGCGAAATGACAGTACACGGTGGCACGCGCGCACAAGCGGATCTCAGCTTTGGGGAAATAGGCATACACGTAGTAACCCGCCATAGCTTTTTACTCATCATGGTTAGAAAAATTTAAAAATAATTCGAATACATTATTATTATTATAAAAATATTACCTATATCAGTGCCAGACACATATTAAGCCATATACTTTCCGTAGCTGTACAGGGTATTATCTAGCTGTGTGCTGAATTTCAGTGAAATGGAATAAAAATATATGGAATAAAAGTAAGTCGACTAAGAATTTTCTTGAGAAATGACGTGTGATACTCGGAGCACTTCACTGTGTATAACGAAACTTTAGTGATTACTTTTTTTCATAGATGCGACGCCTGCGACATACAACGTACCACAGACTGCCAGCAATATTGTTGAGCCAGCACAAATCAGTGATCACGTAAGCACAGTCGCTCAGAGAGCAGTGGGGAATTCGGAAACACCGCAGGTGTGTATTCCCTCCAGAAACACCACCGGAAATTCGATTTCGATCGACGGAGCTCCATTGGATGTGAGTGACGGGGCGGCAAACTCTCAGGCAAAAGATACAGATTATGATGACACTGCTACGTCAGCCGATGGTGAGGGGCGCAAAGTCAATGTAAAACACTACGAAGAGATCAGGAGGGAGCCGATAGAGCACGAACATGAATATGACACAATGAAGGAAAGTGGGATGAATGTACGCCTTGTCGAACCGACAACTCTGCAGTGCTCAAAACAAGTTCCGTCATCATGTCCGGATGAGTTATCGGCCTTGACAAAAGATGCTGCATGGCATGCTCATATCAATGATACAACGGTGAGTAACAACATTCAGTTGCATTATTTGGGTATTTCAGCTAAACACGCGTCTATGTGAGATATACATGGGACTTTGTGAGATAAACATGGGACTACAGATGTATGTGAGATAGACATGGGGCTATATTTGTATGCGAGATAAACATGGGGCTCTGTGAGATAGACATGGGACTGTGTGAGATAGACATGGAACTATGTGAGATATGTAAGGGCTATGTGAGATAGGCATGTGGCTATGTGAGATAGACACGTGTCTATTTGAGATAGACATGGGGTTATGTGAGATAGACATGGGGCTATGTGAGATAGACACGTATCTATTTGAGATAAACATGGGGCTATGTGAGATAGACATGGGGCTATGTGAGATAGACATGGGACTATTTTAGATAGACATGGGGCTATGTGAGATAGACATGGGGCTATATTTGTATGTGAGATAGACATGGGGTGCATTTGTAGGTAAGATAAACATGGGGCTGTATGATATAGACATGGGGCTATTTGAGATAGACATGGGGCTATGTGAGATAGACATGGGGCTATGTGATATAGACATGGCGCTATGTGAGATAGACATGGAGCTTTGTGAGATAGACATTTGGCTATGCTAGAATTAGCGTTGCATTTTGAGATATACAGTCGAACCTCGTTATCTCGAACTCTTTTAACTCGAAAACCCCGTTTATCTCTAAGTATTTCTCCGGACCCAGCCGTTTAATGACTGCAAACCGGAAATTTGGTCACAAAGCGTGGTCATGCATAAAAGAGTTCCACAGTTAAAATCACAACCTAGGACAGCTTTACGGGTTCATGTTTTTACAGGAGCCAGTATCGGTTTGAAAGTCGATCGAGAGATTGAGGAACAATACGATAATTGCTGTTGATTACATCGAGTTTAGGAGGTGTCAGGTGTCACATTTAGCTTTAATGAATCAATGTGTTACATGTATGATATAATTTGTTTGTGTGTGTTTTCATTTTCAAAATCAACTATGCGCACGCTCCATTACAGTGATTTGTTTTAGACTTGCGCACTTTCATTTCCGCATTGTAAATTACGAGGTCGGGGACAGCGGGATAGTTCGATCTTCAGAAGTAAAACTAGACGGACTTGCATTAACAAATGCAGACCTAAAAAGACTTCCATATTAAATAACGAATCAAAACATAGTCCAACCGTTTTGATCGCGTTTAAAAACGAAAGTAGGTTTTTCTGAAATAACTTACTCTATTTTTGTAAGCGTGTTTGTTACATTGGGCTTCATGTATGTGCCATAGGCACGTGCCTGGCTGAGCCGGATACACACGGGTTAATGAGAAGGACATGTGACTTAGTATACACGTGACCATTACTATGCGAGAAGAACATTTAACTATGGGTTTTTTAAATGTCTGACTGCTTATTAATTACTACGTGGCTTATGAAGTAGTTTTTCAATATAAAGATTTCCCGTACTTGTACATATACGTCTCGCTTGTGGCATGTAGTATTTACGTCTTTCGAATCTTCTCAGCAACTTGTATTGAACACACTGAATCCTACAGTATTACAGAGAGAGTTGTACGTGTCAGCATTCATGGAACTAACCTCTGTTTTATACTGCAGATTCATAAAGTGGTTAAAGACCTGTGCGCATGTCCGGCGGGAACTTACATCATGTGGTACAGCAAAAAAAAGAGGGCGATGTTGGTGTCTGTCGCGTAAGTATATTTCAATCAACCCATCGTGAATATTACATTACAACCAGTAAGGTAATTGCTTTAAAAGTCCCGATGCACTGTAAGGCATCCGTAGCCAATGAACTTGTCAAATTGTCTTAGGTCTAAATGATACATGTAACTGATTAATTTTAAATCCATGAATTCTGATTCTCCATACTAAGTAAACTGGGCTAGTCATCTAAATCTGGACTCTGTCACATGGCCCACTTGTTACACGGCCCACTTAATATGACACGTGTCACTTGTTTATAGCGTTCCCGAGATTTCCAAGAAGCATGTACACTTCAAGATGGTACGAACAGAGACGGAGGGCGTGTCCCGACCCCACTACCACTTCGACAGTCGGTTACACAACAAAGACCCCCTAGTTGTTCTCCAGTACGTAAAGGAGAACGGACTAGTAATAAAACCCGCCAAACTAAGACATTACCAATCACAGTTCTGATACCTTTCGCAGACCACGAGTTACCTCCCATTCATCGACTGTTCAGTTTGCAAAGCTTGTAGACGTCATTATTGTTTTGAGCATTATATTTACGTTGTAATATTTTTTACACAACTCAACAGGCATATTTCGTGATACACCCGTCAGCCACATGGTACAATGTATGTATATCGTTTGTGGGTTCTCTTGCCACCCAAGTGCTTGAGCACTGACAACATGTACAGGTAGATTGTCCCACTCATCTACTACTCTAAATGTGAATGAGTTTCTCCTTAACTCCGTGTTGCATTGTTTTTGTACATTATGTGATTGTTACCTCGTATTTTGGAAATGACTTTTATCCAATAGATTGTTAACTACTTCGTAAACTGTTATTGTCAATTATTTCAAAAACTGTTATTAAGTCCCCTCTTACCTGCGTTACTTTTATGTTTGGAGTTGTAGTACTTTCAGACGCTCTCCGATCCGTAGGAATGTTCTTTCAATCCTGGTACATGTTCAGTGCCTCTCCGCTGAACATTCGGAATTAGTTATATATTTCTTTTCATTTGCACGGGTTCCATGCGGTTGCCACGAGTTCCAAATACAGTCACTCATACGAATGCCTTGTACCAGTGTAAAACATGGATTAATCTATTGACGTGTATCTGAACGATCTTCGTATGATGCCCAGGACCGAATTTGCTTTTTAAATAAAAGTAAGTATATATACAGTATGTGTTCTAAAGTCTAGTCTATAACCAACCGTTACATCTAGATCGTTTTCACTGGTAATGCTTTCTCGTGTAGTTTTCTCGCCATTCTGGCTTATGAGATGATCACTTCTGTCATCCAGGAATGGTCCAGACGTACTACATGTGAATGGAGTACTTTACATTTATGTTGGTGGAATTGTACGGTAATAACCAGTCGTCTGACCATTTTTCGGAGTTGATGTAAATCTGAATGTAGAATTCTTGTATCATCTTTGTTACTAACTTTCCGGTATGATTTGGTATCATCTGTAAAACGTGGACAGGAGGGAGATAATATGTTCTCTGGTACATGTGCAACACGAACAAGATGGATCCCAACACTTCTTTGTTTCATCATATTTCAAACGTGTAAGAACGTTTGAATTATGACGACGACACACACCTTGGCGTATTATATTGTTGGCGTAGACAGTGACTTGTTTTGTTTGCTTTTGTTTTTAATTATGTAATGCCTTATTGACAATGTACATCATTTTGGCATTAACATATCTGTGTATACAAAACAGCTTTTTTCTAAATTTCAAAAGTATTTTATTGACAATACATATATAATACAAACAAATAAGTTAACATTAAAGAAGATATTAGAACAGTATTGACAAAAGAATAAGACAACAGGCTTTGCCTATATCAGTTTTCTTCTATTTCCGGTAGCTATGTACAATGCTTAAATATATAAAATGTTGTAATTCGTTTTCGTCTCACACACATGCACACCCACACCAGTTTATGTCTAATACTCATTATTTAAGAGACAAAACTTGCCTGAATAATAATAATAATAACAATACATGGATATTCATTTGGAATTTATCTAGCACGTATAAGTAACGAAACGTTTTGATGATTTCATATAAGAGTCAACATGTATAAGAATAGTTTTATTTAATTGGTCCGATGCATTACTAATACCATATACTAAACAGTGCAGATTTAAATATCCTACTAGATTATAAATAGTGGTAATATGATGCCTAATATTTGAATACAGAGGACATTGAAAGAAAAAATTGTATTAGATCTTCCCTCTGTACACCACATACACAGGAAGCATCATCAATCAGATGGTCTTGTAACTTATCAAAGTTAAGATCACTTTTGAAATTTCTTAGCTGACATAAAATGATGTTAAGTTTCCACGGAACACAGTTAATAAAAGTTTCTGAGACGGATGTATCAAAGGTTTTTTTAAGTTTCTTTTTAAAAGATGAAATTGAGATGGAGTCTCGTACAGTGCTATCAAGTGCATTCCATTTTACCATTGTAGAAGGGAAGAAGCTATTCATATAAGTAGTTGTTCTTGTCTGTTGTATATTAAAGAATCTGCTATTTCTGAAGGTATAGTTATTATATACATTTAGAAATGGTTGAATGATATTATCGAGAAAAGTTGGAGTGTTATTATTAAGAATCTTATACATTAATGTTAGTTTATGATTTTGTCTTCGTGTGTGTAATGTTTCAAGTTGTGTTTCAGTATACAGAATGTGATAAGATGTACCTCGTCTGAGGCCAGTAGTTAAACGCATAGCTTCTAGTTGAACTGATTCTAAAAGATCTGATTCAGATTTGGTACAATTATCCCATACTATATCAGAATATTCTAGCACAGGTCTTATATAAGAGACATATACTGTTTTTAATGTATTCCTATCAACTGTAGTTTTTAAAATTCTAAGAATACTTAGTCTAGAGTTCGCTTTTTTATAAATATTTGAAATGTGATCTGACCATGTCCCTTTACTGTTAAATGTTAGTCTTAAGTGAGTATGGTGTTCATGTTGTGCAATTGGAGTATTGTTAAATAGCAGTTGAGGATGATTGTTAATGTGTCTACGAGAGAAGTTAATAGCTACAGTCTTATTCGGATTGAATAGGATCTGCCATTGCTTTGACCATTCAGAGATTGAGTCAAGATCATCATTAAGCATGTTAGTAGGTGTTGTAAGGTCATTGTTATTATTTACTGTTACATAGAGAGAGGTATCATCCGCAAAGAGTTTTATATGAGAGGTTACATTGTTAGTAATATCATTAAAAAAAAGAAGTAAGAGGAAGGGACCAAGGACAGATCCTTGAGGAACCCCTGAAGAAATAGGTTTGGTACTAGATTGATAACCTTCAAAGATAGCTCTTTGTTTTCTGTCAGATAAGTAAGCTTTAAACCATCGTATAATTTACCTTTAATACAATATGTTTTTTGTTTATATAATAGGCCAAAATGCCATACTCGATCAAATGCTTTACTTATGTCATAGAAAACAAAACGCAAATCTTAACCTTGGTCTAAATTACTACTAATAGTATTATAGACATCAGCTAGTTATTAGTAGTGGAGTCTTTGGATTGAAATCCTGACTGATGTACACTTAACATATTGTGACTTGAAATATAATTAAACGTATATTTAAAAATTATTTTTTCTAACATTTTGATAAAAATAGATGTAATAGCAATAGGTCTATAATTATTGAGATCACTGATATCTCCTTTACCTTTATAGAGAGCAGTAACATTAGCCGTTTTTAGTACATCAGGTATTACTCCAATAGATAAAGTTCTATTAAATAATAATTTGAGTGGGTATACTAAAGAAGAAGAAATGTTCTTAACAATCATAGGTAAAATACCATCAGGACCAGCTGGTTTGTTTACAAACTAGCATCTGCCTACAAAAGGCAGAGTCCAGGGAAACACTTCATACTATTTTATTTTGTATAGTGTGTGTCAAACCTAAACCTATCTTATACTTATTCATTATATACAAATGTAGTTGTTTTGTATGTGCAATACTTTTTTTTAGCTTTGCATATTATGCCGTTTCCCTGCTATTTCTGTTTTACTTCCGGTTCAACATATCTCAGAAAAAGCATGCCTTAATCACACTGAATTTGTGTTAATGCTGATAATTTTGTTATTATATTAATAACATCTAGTACACGATAAAAAGTTATGATATGACCAATTCCATATCCTATCCCATACCAACTCTTGGCTTATATCAACCTTCGGGCCTTTTCGGCCCCTCGGGCTGATATGGAAGTCTGGAGCTGATCCTAATAAAGATATATATATATATACATAATTTAAACGGTCATTTTTATATTTTTATGTCCGATAATAAGCATACGCACATTAAAGTGTTTCTTTTGTCAAGTTGGTTGATTTAGTAAAGTATCATATTGGAGTGTTGGTTTTACTGGATATATTCTGTATAGATACTCGAAACTATAATGGAACTTTTTAAAACAAGATATTCATATCCTTTTTTTAGTACGTTGTTCAATACCTCAGTACTATTCAGTTGTACATTTGTTTGCACAATACTGAATATTCATCGTGAACATTTATCTTTTTTTTTACCAACACCTCCAAAAGAAACAAAGTAAATATACTTCGACAAAGTCCAGTTTTAATTAATAGTTTATTGACTTGATCATAAAGATCTTTATGACGTCATCCTCAAATTAAATAATTGTTTCATCCCAAAACTGTACTTTTCTTTTAACATTATTTCTTACGATACATCTTGTTAAAATCATACTTGAAACTTCATACATGTACATTATATCATCATGTAATATTACAATCGGGTACTTCTTTTTTGTTGATTATATATTTCGTTTCAGTAAATATGGTTTTCTTGTGTCTAAATAACAACATGTTCACCTCAACGAAACACCGTAGTTGATAAACGTTACACGATGTGCAGTGCGCGCACAACCAAAAAATGTGATATCATAACGTTCGGATAACGTTAACTGGTCGACATATTTCGCACAGTTGTTTGATGGGTTCATTCGTCGTAATTGATAAATATCTAATTTAAAAAAAGACACAAATAGTCACCTCAACAACAGTTCGTTTTTGATATATCTTACAGTTATGTTTAAACATTTTAATTACTTTGTTTTAAGCAAAAAATCTGTTATATAAATATTCAACTGTTACCAACTGAGAGACATATATCACTATTTTTGATATTGATATTTTTTATATCTTTTTTCATGTACATAATATTAATAAATATTAAAGTCGAATCTTGCTCAATAATCGGTAATGTTTCAGGCATGTGTGCCCAAGGGTTCTGTCCTTGGTCAATAGGTATCTATTACAGTTAATAAATAAGTATCTTATAATTTACTTTCTCTATCAAAACTGATTGCAGATGATTATTAAAACAACGTTGAAGTTAAAAATTGTATGACCATGTTTAGCTGTTATTCTTATAAAACAGAAGCTGTATTTTTCGTATTTGTCATATTTTATTGCGACAAATACATGTAAAGTATAAGTGTCTATAAGGCCCTTTTTGGCCCCGGTATACCCGAATTTGTCTTCCTCATGCGCAAAAACTAATGCAAACGTTTGACCGAAAGTGGAGTTTTGGGGTACCTAAAGGGGTAGGGTAAACTACAAATATAATTTCCTGTTTTCAAAATGGCTAAAACATGGAAACATGTGTAAATCAAACAGGCATATATAAAAGAATTAAAAAGGACGAAAATTCAATCGTTACTTAACGATTGTTTATATAAAACAGCGGATTAAGTCAGGGGCTTGTTCAAGGTAATTTTCAAATGAAACGTGTTTTGTTTTTTCAATATTTTCCTTTTAATTATTATTTTGAGTTGAAATTTACAACTTTACTTACATGAAATTCATATTAATTCACACTTTCCTTTTGTTTAATACTGAGTTATGGCTTCTGGGCACTTCTCAAACCTGTCAATTTCAAATATCTCTTAATCTTAAGTGAATTAAAAGGTGCATGACACCATTAATATGCTTTCAGTAAACGATATTAATAGTTAATATTTTATATTTTATATATCATATAATATTTGCTCAACACCTGTGGCTGAAGTGAGTTCTAGGTCCTGAT